TGCGCCAGTATACACCGGGGGCAAATCAAGCTGAAACCTTTTGTGTCAGCAAAATTTACCCTCAAAATGCAGAGAATAGCATTTCAGAGGGTATAGATTTCAGATCTGGCCCCCTCATGTAAAATTTCGTGCCGCAGTCTCTGAGATATCCTGACCTTACCGTTGCCATTCTCAACGCCATAGTGTTTTATTTGTTTAACCACGATGGTGCTGTAAACCTTGCATAATGAACTTGTGATGGAAATATACATAAAGATCAGCAAGATCGAAGGCTTTGTATGAATCAGTTTATTGGTGCCGTGTTTAAGGATCGACAGCGCCCTCTGTGGTTGATGATTAAATTAAAACACCGATACGAAACCATTCTTTTTATCAGCCTAAAGATAACGTTATAATGATGAATTAATTAACAAGTTTATATCTGAGAATAATTTTAATCCGTACCCTTTGTCCACAATAAAACGAAATAAAACAAATGTTCTCAGACTAAAAACAAGCACCAGACTCAGAAACTGGTTACCCATTTCGTGTATCTATAGCAGTCTGACAATGAAGCAATGGTAGAGAACACTGTGTTTATTCTACTCACTTTAGTGATAATGTTACCGACGGCTAAAATATGGTAGTTGGCTGCCATTAAAACTTATCGCCAGATTTCCTGGACTTGTATCATATTATTTTAGTTAAAATCTAGATAAAAAGCTATCGTCACCGAACTGTTTTTTGCACAAAAGATATTTTAAGCAATTTACTATCAGGGGTAATATCTCTTTCTCTCGGGTTCTCCACACGTGTCAGGGGGGAAACTCGTCTCGTCTCTCTATCTCGTCCCCTTGAGGTACGGGATCGGGAAAGTCACTTATACTTTACAGTCAAATAAGACACACACAATGAAATACGTTTCAGCTCTCGTCTTAGTCGATCTTTGGAGCACTCTATGAGACACAGCGCCCTGGGGAAAAAATCCCCAAGACTCTCTTAGACTGCGTCAAGGCTCGCCCCAAGTCTCTCTCGGACTCTCGACTGCCCAGGACTGCAATCTCTCTCTACTGCGTCTATCGTGGAGTATTCGCCAAGACCAACTCAAACTCTCTTTATTCATTTTCAAAACTCTAACCAATTACAATGCAGTAAAAAGACTCTAGGGCGTAACCTTCAATCATAAAGCCAATCACACTAAGTACTGAATACGTCATATCTTTTGATTAATCGTTCACTACATTAATAACTAAATACGGTCGTCAGAATAGCGACGGTATCTTGTAATTAGTTCCAAATCACTGAGCCAAGTTCCGTCCAAAACTTCAAATAGACCTAAACGATGACAGACATAACACAGCAATTCGCTAATAATCAGTTAATTAAGTCGGTCAACAGATACGCGTAAACTAATTCATGACATTACCATTGGTTCATATGGTAAGAATGTTTTATCATAAGTTCCTGTATGGTTAAACAATCACATGTAATTATAAGGTTGGCATTTATGGTTGTTCCAAATAATATTTTGTACGAAATAATGATATAACATGAATTTCATACACGGAAAAATCCCCAGAGTCAATGTCTCGTGTCTAAATAAATAATTATTTAACATTTTTGAAACAAAACAAAAACGTGATAATTGTGCCGCTCTTATTAATAAGTCGAATGCCCGTGAACACCTTAACCCCATTATACGCCAAAGTCACCTCGTGTAACTTTTGATATATTTGTTCAAACGTTTCAAGACATGTTGTCAATGTGAAATATTGCAATTTAGTCATTTCAAAAATGTTGCACTCGAAACTTTGGCGAGACAATTAAGGCGTTACGTAAGTCATTTTCAGAGTTTCTGTCACGTAGATGAAAAAATCCTGCAACAAATAGTGCATGATTTTCACCAGGAATAAACATCGACGAGTTTGACCAATAGTACCAGTATATATTAAAGTGTTGACATGTCCAGTTCTCGTAAGTAATACCCGCGGGTATTGCATTTAAAAGTACACGTGTCAACATCCATCAACAACAACAAAACAACAACTAATCACTCTCTCATAATTCTACGCACAACGCACAAAATATTTACCCCTCCCATTTTTAAAAATATATATTTAAATACTATGCTTCCATGTATTTTATTCCGTTTTAATTTACTGTTTATTTGATCGGTTTTCCGAAAGCGCTACGGTCGTCGCGCAATGCGTGTTCGAATTCGAATATAGAACAGGACGAAGCGCTTTAAAGTTCTGGTAATTGCAAACATTTCAAAATATAGTGATAGTCACACTAATATGAAATATAGTCGATATAAAATATGTTATATAATTTTTTTAAAAATCGGATATGTATAATGATGGCGAATGCATACGTTTTGGTATGCATACATGCTCCCATGTACGCACACACGTAATCAGCACGTGTGTAGTTGAAATGGTCAGCTTGTCACGTGTGCATATTGCAAGACGGGTGTTCTCCCGTGATTGGACCAATCCAAGCAACGTTTAATTTTCTATATGATTTGTGGTAGATGACAATTGCATTGAATTGAATACACATTTATACTGAACCTTTGCTTGAAATGTGCACATGTATCAACTAAAATAACATCAATGGAGTAGTACAGTACAAATAGACTGGCAAATATAAGACGGCGGAGAGAAATTTGATGAGTAATTATGTTAAAGACCCCTACTTCCACGGAAAACGAATGATGGAATTCATACTTAATGATCAATTTTATGCGATTTAGAATATAAACTACACATGCCCTTTTGCAGGGAAATGATGCAGTGAAAAGTTAGCAAAACAGCGTTGCAAAGTATTGTGAGAGTAAATCAGGTTGGTAATAATGTGCTACGTAGCCATCTCACCTTAAATTGTACAATACTAGTACATAATTTATCTGGAATTAATTCTCGCTGGAAAGACATTTTGTCTGATGTATGGAGTTTATTTTCACTGTTTTTTGATAAGTTTAATGTAAAATATATGAAAAATGTATTTCACTGATTTACTCTTCAGCGAAAATAGTGAAAACAATTTCCAAGTGAAAATAAAGTACTTTACAGTATTAGATTGCTTTCTGACATGCAACAGTAATTACTTACTGTTATTGTATTGTCATTGCTATCGGTGTATTAAAAACATGCGATTACACGTGGGCGTCATATACTTACACTGTAATAAAATACGAGTAACAATGCTCTAATAACTTCCGAGACTTACTGTAATCATAAACTTGCATGTTTTAATAGTAATAGTCAGTAGTGAAATATGGATGGGTTCATAAGCACACTTTTGACGACAATTATAAAAATAAATTGACTTGACTTTTCATCATTCTGACAATGACATCATTACTTTGGCTTTCATGAATAATTAATCACGTTCTGCGCATGCCATTTTTGTTCAGCATCCGGGTCGTTTGAGCTCAAATCAACATGGCGCCGATCGGTGAGAAGGCGGCGGTGACAGGCAGTGTTGATCTGAATGATGGACAAGAAAGTGGCTCAAACTTATGGTAAGTGGAGCGATGATAGACCGTCTTGCATCGCACATTTCTCTTCTCTGTCTAACTAGTGTTTTCGCATTCCAGGTCGTCTATTTTGGCCGAGGTTGGCTCTCATTCAAGCTCGAAGCTGCCATCTTGCAAGTCGATTCTCGTGTTAGGTGGGTGCAGTTTCCTATATTAACATCAGAAATATTTCTCGCTTTTCTTTTCAACCCCTGTATGCGTGTTCGAAACATCTGTCACTGAAGAACCATTTCGATTGCTTAATTGCAGGAGAGGATGAATCGGGCAAAACTACTCTCCTTGCCAAAATACAAGGTACGGACGAACCCAAGAAGGGCAAAGGTTTGGAATATCTCTTCTTGGATGTCAGAGATGAAGACAGGGACGGTGAGTTATCTGTCTAGTTATCAAAATAAAAACATGATTAAAAAAAATAAATAAAAAATGGCAATTTATTGCCTGTTATTGAGAAAATAATTTTATGTTAATTTTCAAAACAAGTATCGCTGCATTTACGGGGTATTTACTTTGATCTAAAAAAAATTACGTCTGGGGTGAAGTGTACGCCCTCTACCGTGTCGACAGTCCTACATCAACAATGTGTTGTATCTTTGCCGACTGGAGAACATACTAATACACATTGTGTCAATATGTGGGTAGAAACACTGATTTGAATGATTTTAGATAGCCATTACATGCATTATGTTGCAGTATTTTTGTGTCTTATTGAACTTTACCAGCTGTTTATTGTGTACGTTCTAAATAGCTATAACAAAGCATTTTTAATTATGCAAATTTATGCCAAACAACACTTGGCATGTGATTCACCTGGTCCAGGAATGTGGTGTTCCACTGGAAAAAAAAAAAAAATTGGCCATCCTGCAATATGGCAGCTTATCAAAAACTCAAATTTTGAAAATCTTTCTGCCAAATATGCAAATTAGGCATAGTACTTCGAAAACTACCTATTTGAGCTTTTATTGCTAAACCAATCGAAGATGTGATATAATATTACCTTTATTTCACAACAGCAGCTTTCATACTGACATAGGGGGTATATTTGTTTGATTTTAAAGGTGGCCTTAAGTACCCCTCACA